AAAAAAAAAAAAAAAAAAAAAAAAAAAACAAGCAAGACTTGCTGAACTTGAAAGAAGAAGTGGAGAGGGATAAAAAGCATAATATAATAGAGACTAGTGGAGTAGAGAGGATAGAAGAAGTGGAAAAGAGTTGTGCAAATTGGAAACAGTGTCTTCTCCCCTTCTCTTCTCCCTCGACTTATCTTCTTCTCCGTTTGAGGCGCTTCAGCCTCTACCTCCATAGCCTAGGCCTACACCCTACTACCACCACTTCTCCATATCCATAGAGGTCTTCTTCTTCACCCCCCACCTCCACCGCTCAAGAGCAACTCCGCCTAACTTCCCCACCCTCTGCGCGGAGCAGCAGCATGACTGCCGGGTAATGTGTATTATCAATCATTGTGGCCGAATCATACATACCCTCTTCCAACTCGACCTCCACCTTCCTTGGCCACGGTACTACAGTCTTCACCAGAATACAACGGCCGGTCGTTATAGCTGTATTTGGCCCAACTTTCCATCCAGATACTTCGATAATGATCGGGCGTTGTATTCGGGTTAAGAGGATGGTAGTGTGCCTCTTCCAGTGTGCTAGGACTACTTGAAGTTCATCCCTTTTGGCGGGAACATCATTGCAGCCAGCTTGCAATCCAACTTCAGGGCCTCAATCTAACCTACCCGCTATCGAGGTACGGGCCCTGACTACCGTCTTCACCCGAATAGAATGCCCGGTCATTATAGCCGTATCTGGACCGAAAATTCCACCAGATACAGCTATAATGACCGGGCATTCTATTCGGGTGAAGACGGTACTGATGACCTTTTTGGAACCTACCGGGTCCTTCTAAGCCTACCAGACCTCAGTTGGGCCTACCCGAGCTGCCGGAAAATCCCCACCTGGTACTATCCCAATTCTACTCACATCCCTGTCCGTCCTAGCCTCTCTAGAAGTCCGTCCGGTCTCCAATTTCAGTCATTTCCCTGTGGTTCCCCTCTTTCTCAAATTACCCCTTCCCGGAACACAGAAAAGACAGGGCGAGAACACAGCAAGCCCTCCGTATGGAAATCATCACATAGGGACTTATTAGACACATGCAAGTGAACAGCAATCTTACTCCAGAACATGGAAATCTCAGCAAAAATCAAAACAGACTAATAAATCTTTGCGGGTCATTGCACTCCACAGCAAAATTTATCCACCTTTGTATCCAACCTGGTGTTAATCAGCTCTTTCAGTAATGTGTAGAAAAGTAGGCTGAATGGAGGGGAGATTGAGTTGAGGAGACAGGGATCAGCATTCCAGATATGATGGACAGACGACAACGACGATGATGAAGAAGAAGAAGGAAGAACGAAGAAGAAAAGAGGGAGAAGCAAGAAGAAGGACGAAGAAGAAGGACGAAGAAGAACGGCGAAGAACGGAGAAGAACGGAGAAGAACGAAGAAGAAACGAGGGAGAAGCAAGAAGAAGGATGGAGAAGAAGGACAAAGAAGAAGAGAGAAAGAAGAAGAAGAAGAAGAAGAAGAAGAAGAAGAAGAAGAAGAAGAAGAAGAAGAAGAAGAAAAGGAAGAAGAAATTGTGAGTTCCATGCTTTCATGTTGTATGCAATGGGGAGTGCTAGAAACTAGCGGGCATGCAGCAAGAAATTTTGCGACAGTCAAGGAGGAGGAGGGAGGAGGAGAGGGGGGGGGTGTCCTAACAGCTACGACTGGTCTCTGTGGTATGTCCTGCGTAAGTTGGTATCAGAAGATCACTGACCGGAAATGTCCGTGGGGCGAAAATGTAGAACACGCTGGCTCGGAGAACATGCGTGAAAAAGAAGAAGGCCAGATGGTTCCAACGTCAGCTCGAACCTCATTGCTACCTCAGTGCATCTACTCCACTGGTCTACATGCTCCACTCCTGATTTCTGCATCCAAGCTGCATTCAACCCGACCCGCCTGCTACCATCTTTACCTGAACACATTGCACCCTCATCATGACTGTATAGGACCAGAAAGATAGCTTGTATACATACACTACATTCCATATCGGGCTGCATTGTGTTTGGGTGAGACGGTAGCGTTTCTGAGCTGTCTAAATTTGTCCTCGTCAGTTGGTATGCCTACTTACTTGGTTGTGTCAACGAAGTGTTTGAAATATAGACCCAAGTTCGAATCCAGATTATGGAACTACGTGAAACCAAATATTTCCGGCAAAAAGACAAAAGGCAAAAAGGCGACTTCGTTGTGGTTGCAGGAGCTGATGCTTGCTTCTGATTTGCTGATTAATGTGTATTGTCTTTCGAATATCAATGACATTGTTTGTGTTTGAATTTGTTATGGCCACATTCATTTCTAGGTGGACTTTCTTGCGACTCGGCTGAAGATGCACAGTCTGTACTCACCGGCAACGAGGGCTCAGACTTGGGGCTGCGCTATGCTGTCACTGCTCCCTCTGCGTAATGTCCATTCAGAGGTCCTGCCGTCTCCTCACGGCGAAAGGGCATGCTTCCAGCACGCAACCGTCGTTGTCAATGGATGTCCTTTCCATCTTATGAATGCACACTTCGGCAACTTGGACGATGAAGTGCACTCGCAGGCTGTCAGGGTGGCGGAGCTTGTCAATCGTACCATGCTCGGTGTGCCCAATGCTCGATGCACTCCTGCTCAGACTGTGGATGCCATCCAGGGAAATCAGCAACAGCACGATTCTCCTCTCGCAGAGGAATTGCGGGGACGTGGTCCGGTTCCAATCATCCTTGCGGGTGACTTTAATTTGGCACCTCTCACGCCTCCATATGATATCATAATGAGTGTTTCGGGTCTTATTGATGCTCGAGTCGCCTCGTTGGGGAAGTGGAATTCTTCCTTACATAGGGATAGGGGTGCAGGGCTAGCTTTTGCATCAAAAGCATTGCAAGCTGAGTTGTGGGAGGAGCCATTTTACGATCAGCAAGTTACTACAGATGGTGTCCCTATTGTGGTTACCTTCCATCCTCCTAAGTAAAAAAAATGTATCTGTTGATTCTGTTGATTGTTCCTGTGTCTCTGTGGATTCACCCTGTCCTTCCTCTTAACACTACTTTGTCGAAGTCGAAATGCATCTTCTCTCATTATGCCACCCTGTTCGCCACTCGTCACCCTTCGTCCTTCCAAGTGTGTGCCTTCCCCTGCCTCTGTCTCTTCCTCGTTCCATAACTGCTCTCTCTCTCTCTCTCTCTCTCTCTCTCTCTCTCTCTCTCTCT